CAACACATGTCAACTTGTGTAATGACTCATGTAGCAGTGCTTAAACAGATTTTTATATTAGTAATTAAATAGCAAAAAGTATGGTAACCTCTTATGTTGACATTATGCTTGGAAATGATTATACATTTAAGTTAAATGCGCAAAGGAATGTTGACCAGGAAAAATTTAACAAAAATTTCTTTCCATATGCTAAAAATAGATTTTGTTAATGATACTCATAGGCCAAAATATTACATTTATTGCTAGTTGAATTAAGATTAATTGATTTGTTATTCACATAAACCCAGAGCCGGTGCTACAGCTCATATGGCTGTACTGGGCAGCAAAATATACAAAAGACAAAATTTTTTGAACTTAGAGAAGCACCAAGCAACAAAATTAAGGGTTGGGTTATTCAGTTACGGCAAAGCACACAAGGGCTATCTGCCTAAAGGGAGGGATGCCTTCATGGAGGATTTTCTAAGGGAAACTGGCTCATATACACGTTACACATGGGGAAAACCACGAAAACGCCCATGCATCCAGCCTGTTCACGGGATTCGAACCTCGTACTGAACTACCAGTGTTCAGCGTCTTTACCGCTCGGCCACTGGTGGGCTCCAACAAAAGGGCTGACAAAATTTTTTAAATTTAGAGAAAGCACTGGGATCCAGAATTTAAGGGCGGCAGAAATTTAGAACTTTGGGAGGCACTTGGTAGCAAAATTTAGGACCTGCAGAGATACATCAGACAGTAAGATATCTAGCGCCACCCCTTAATAAGTTTAAGTATATGTGGGAATTTATTTATTCAGGACTCAGATAAGCCTTAAGCAAGTTCAAGAAATAGATATAAATATAATAAATAACTAAACTAATACAATTCAGGCTCAATAGTCTCAGTGCACAATAGAAGCAAGACAAATTTAGTGCAACAACTTGTCTTTCGTTGCCAATCTCATGATACATAGCCAATAATGTATAGTGGATGCTATTAAGCTAGACTAAAATTATACTCTACTGATACCAAGGAATTTCAATTAATATAGAAGACTGTGCTGTTCCTTAAGTTTCTGATTTGATACAGCTTATTATTTTTTGCAAGCTGTTATTCTTACAGCAATTTTATGAAAATTAAAGTCTGAACTTTCTATTGTGTCATAAAGAGTTTCTAATTCTGGAGCTGCAGCAGGATCTACAAAGCGAAAGCTTGTTTCAATGGCCGATAAACAGAATGTGTAAATGAGGTTCAAATTCCGCAAATGGGCTGGCTGCATGGGTGTTTTCGTGGTTTTCTCCATGTGTAACGTGTATATGAGCCAGTTTCCCTCAGAAAGTCCTCCACGAAGGCATCCCTCCCCTTAGGCAGATAGCCCTAGTGTGCTTTGCCATATTTAAATACACCACCAGAAAGTGTAAATGCTTCAAAAAGTGGATTAGTGTATATCCATCTCAAAATTATGCCAGGCATATGGCATTGAAAGTCTATATGACATAAGCAAACAGAAAAAGGAACTTTTAGAATTTTTTGTGGATTCGGATACCCCACTTGCAATGAATAACAAAACAATTATTCATCAAGCTAAAAATGATGACCATGACAATATGATGATTGAATGGGTCAGAGAGTGTGCAGTGAGGGCATGCCATAGATGAGTTCAATGCTAATGGCTCAAGACAAAATATTTCATGAAGAAATTAGAATCTGAGTGCACATATTCTACAGGTTGGTTAACCAAATTTAAAAATTCCCATGGTGTAAGCCTATTAAAAATTTCAGGTGAAAAAGCTTCAGCTGATACTGAAGCTGCTGAACTATTTACAGATGAATTCATTGAACACATAGTGAAAATTTATATCCAGAACAAATTTACAACACTGATGAAACTGGTCCATTCTGGCAATATGTATGGCGGAATATCTTGGCAACCTTTACAGAAAAGGCTCCAACTGGTGTCAACGATTCCAAAGACAGACTAACAATTTTGACATGCGCAAATGCTGCAGGAAAACACAAGTGTAAACTTTTCGTAATCAGAAAAAATACACAACCTCGAGATTTAAAGGAGTAAATTTCCCTGCTACATATTGTACAAGTAAAACAGCATGGTTGACACAAGTGTTAATGAATTATCGGTTTGAAAATCATTTCATGCCCAAGTCTTGGCAACATTTGAATTCGGTCGGCTAACCTGACGATGCATAAAATAGTCCTGATTGTAGACAACTGTTCGGCTCATACTTCACTTGACGTTTTAGTGAAAGATAATGTATCTGTGTATTATTCTTTCCTCCAAATTGTATGTTTAGCATTCAGCTTATGGATATCGGAATAGTGCTCACGCTGAAATGCAAATATAAAACAGAACTTTTAAAATACATGCTAAATTTCTTGAATAATGGCAAGATTATTTCAAGAAATTTTGAAATATTTTAGCATAAAATCTGTTGTGTGAAGTACCACAAGATAATGGAAGAATGTGTCTCAAGGTACTTTAAAAAATGCTTGGCATAATTTATGGCCAGCTACCATATTTCATGGTGAGGATGAGGAGGATGATAGCTGCAAATCTGAATGTTTTCGGATATCGTAAACTAAAGGTGAAATTTTCCATTTAATGGATTTTGTAAAGAAATGTGGAAAAGCGGTAATAAATGAAGATGATATAACAGACAATTTTTAATGCAATGACAAGCCCCAATCATCAATCAACGGATGATTAAATCTGTAGTATGGTTCTAGATCCTGAAAATACCACTACCGTTAAGTGAAGAAAGTGACAGAGAGACTATTGGAAATGAAAAAAGTTCGATTGATAAGTTAGCTGGAATTCTTGACACAGCAATTACAGGACTTGAACAGTGGAACTTTGTTAACTTAACAAGAAACCATGTCTGTTTATAGAATTAAAGAGAAAGTATTAGCACCAAAAATGAAACAAGTTACATTGCAAGAAATATTAAGCCTTTTTTTTTTTTTTTTTTTTTAATTTTGATACTATTTAGATCACAGATGCTTCATTATTTCCTATTTTTAATTTTATAATTTCAACATATCATCTTACTAGATTTAAACTTATAAGCAAATATCCAGAAAAATACGAAATTTGGCATCGCCGAGGTCCTGATGAGTCCAGATCTCGGACTCAACTGTTTGAAAAATGCTTTTAAATAGAATGTACATCAGCAAAGCATAATAGAGTTATTTTGTAGGGCATAATAATAATAAAAAACTTTTGTAATTATAGCTGTAGATAAATTTTAAATAGTTAAAAATTCTTATGTCTTTAATTCAATATTAAGAGAAAGTTAGTTGTTTTAGAAGTTTTGAAAATATAACTTGCATTAGCTGCATTGAAAAATAATTCAATATGCTAATTACATGAATCATTTAAAATTTTATTTGATTTTGTCAAATGAAAAGATAATGATGATAGTAAAATTTCCTCTTTGAAGATATGGAAAAGCCATTCATTCTCAAATATAGCCTTACCATGCTAACGAAAAGGAACAAATTTGTGACATGTAGTGAAGAAGTGCCCAACGGTAAGATTTACTTCCAGCTGAATGTTAAGATGTGTTTGTTGAGTGAATTGCTTGAAACCTACGACCATTCTATAATCTATCTTCACATATTCATGCATTTGTTCCATAAAGTTAGGTACAATGATTTGTCTGACTAATTAACTATTTAATCATCCAAAAGGTTTCACAACCAAAGCAAAAAATAGCTTCATTTATGGAGAATTTCTCATGAAATTCAGGTTCCTCCATTCACAGCACACATTCTATTATCACAACTGATTATCCCGTATCTTAACCAACAATAAGTGAGCTGCTTGTCCAAGAATTTCACAGTTTAAATGCCATTTTCGTGCAGCAACAATTATCGAAGTATAAGTCAAATAATGTTACATAATACACAGTTGTTCATGGTCAAGTGATACAAGACAGTTTCTTTTCTGAACTATCTGATAAGATCATGGCTACATTTGAAAATGATTAGTTGTTCTGTGTCCTTGTATAGAAAATTTTTACTGTCATTACCAACTTTTCATTTTACCACATCAATTAGTTACATTAAAATGAAATGCATACAATTATTTAATGGCAATTACTAAGATTTGCACTTAAATCAACATCACAATAGCATATAGCAGTTAAAAAAATAATACTTCTATGCTCTAAAATTATGAGATCTATAATTTGCTTAATGAAATGTTCAAAATTTTCAACTCTTAAAAAGTTTTTCCGAAAATCTCTAAAATTATAATTTTTTTTAACCTCCTAAATTTATTTATTTGTTTTGTATATCTGTTTGTTGTTGTTTAATCACTACTATTCACAGAAAAAAAAAAAAAAAAAAGAGGAAAAGCATAGAAAAAAAAATGAATCAAACAGCATGCAAGTTTTTTTTTTTTTTTGTGTGTGTTTTTTGTTTCATAGTATTTTTAGACAGCAGTAAAACAGAAATAAAAAAAAAAAAATTATCTTAGATGGTTAGTTTTGCAGTTTGCATGGTACTAAAAAAATTCTTTCTAATTTGATTTTGGCTTGCAGAACACCTACAGAAGTTGATAATATAATAATACTGTTAAATAATATAATACTAATAATTTATTTTTTATGATTTCTGTTTTTCTTCCAGTTAAGTTTTACTTAAGTTCCACTTAAGTTTTACTTTCATAATTATTCAATCTTTTATGTTTTTTTATCATGATTACATGAAATATTTGTACATTTTTTTGAAGACACTCTATAAAATTATAATTCATCATGGCTCTATATTTTTTGCCAATCCTGATATAAGAATTTTTAAAACATACTTCCTACTTCGCACAGCACTTAAATGCAGAAATATTTTTAATTCACACAAATTTCTACCTCTATATATATATCCACAGAGCAACAAGAAATATTACCACTACACACAGAAATCTAGAATATAAAAGTAAGAATAATTAACTTTATTTTCTAGATATAAAATAATGTAGAAATATAAAAATTAAGAAATAAAATTACCAGATCAGGCAGGTTTTCATTGCCAGTCAAAGCTGAAAAACTTTTCATAGTTTCATAGGCAACGTAATATTTAGCCATTAGACGACCAGTACCTGAAAAATATTTTTTTTTTTTTTTTCAGGCAAAAAAAAAAATATTTTGTTGATATGCTGTGTATTAAAGAAAACGAAACAACATTTTAAACTTAATTAAAGTTTTATAAACTTTTTTACGAAATGGATTAAAATAGTTAGTATAAGCATGTATCTACTATTCAAAATGAAGAGATGCCTTTATAAAGGACTTCTTGTTTTAACCAGTCAGTCTTTCATAAAATACTTAATATTTAGAGAGTGAAAATAAAAGATTTAATGAAGCAAACATCTTTTCAACTATAAAATTATGCAGTTCATTAAAAAACTGTTTTAATGCTCTGAAATTACAAAAATGGCAAAACATAAAAAATTATAGCTTTTTTAAAATTTATTTTCACAAAAAACCAACTTCCTGAACACCACAAAGTTATTATTATTTATAATGGCAGATTACAAAGACAATTGTAGACAGAATAAGCAAATATGAAAGAAAACAGCAAAACTAAAAAAAATGTATAATCTAAAAATCTTATTTGTGTTTCACCTTCCAGGATCACTCCCAGAGTGATCCTCTAGGGATCCATTTCCTCGTGAATTATGCCTAGCTATTAAATTATGTAAAATTTGGTGCAAAATTTATGGAGAAATTAAAAATTTATCTTGGTGCAATGTTTACAGTTTGCACTGAAAATAATTCACTTGGCAAACGTCTTAATATATAGCAAACTATTTTCCTTACACTTCCATCATGCCAGAGTGGAAAAAACGACATCTCGTTCCTACCTTTTTACATTGTGCATGAGCAGAATAAAAGTCACATCGTGCCTACTTTCAAATAATTTTAACAAAGTATCTAAACCACATTTGGTGTTTTATCGCTTTCAACAAACATGCCAAATTTCAAAACGCACAAACATATAAATTCACGTAAACTTGAAAAAACAAAACTGTAATTTTTTGCAGGTATGCTTAGAAATACGTCCACTTTAAGATGATGGTAAAAATTTTATAGATTATAATTCAAAAATGTTTTTGAAAAATTTATAAAAATTATTTAAAAGTACAAATTTTAATATATAAATCATAAAAAAATGGGTGAAAGTTATTCGGAATGAACCTGAATTTCTAAATGTGAAAGGAGGAATCAAATAAGTTTAATAAAAAAAGAGAGATTAATAAATGTATACCAAACTCAATTAACATTGAAGAGCTAAAATTTTGGGAGCTAATTTTTTTGAAAACTACTTGTGCGATTTTTACAAAACTTGGTAGTTTAGTGTAATTTGAGTCGTAGAATCGAAATATGGAAAAACATTGGCATGTCATTTCAGAAAAAGTCCAATTTTTTCCAATTTTTTCAAAATACCTATATTAGAACAATGCTATATATAAATCAAATACATATCATAAGTTGTGCTTTCAAGGCCTGAAAAAACGCAATTTGAATTTCGTCAATCGCCAAGTAGAACGGGAAATATAGAAATATCCCCCCCTTTTTTTTTTCAGTGCACACTCAATAATTTGACAAAAGTCTTATCTCTAACAGATATGCTACTAATACAAAAACCTTCTACACAAAAGCGAACTCAAAATTTACACATTTCAATATTTTGATAACAGATATCATAACCTTAAGGTACATCTAAAAGGAACTAAATTATTAACTTATTCTAGTGAATGACCACATATAGATGAAGCTGTTTCCATGCAGCATTTTTTAAACTTGCTTATGATAATGAACCAGGGCATATGCTCCAAATATTGAACGATTAAAATTAAATTAATTTATTGAGAGATCAAAATATGTTCAGTATAGTTTTCAGAAGAGTCACACAAATATTATTGTAGACATTTTTGATATTAAATAAAAAGGTAAAAAAATGAAATCTCGCATAATTTTTGTGAGTCATTTGCCTTCAGACAGAATAATAGCAGTACAGCATTAATATAAAAATTTCAGATTTTCCAGAGACACTGCATTTTTTCCTACTAAAAACATACAGATGCAGATAACAGGACAATTATAGTAAATGACTTCTTAGATACAAGTTTATTAGAATAATAATCATTGTAAAAGTACGGACCTGTATTTGAACTACAGAGGGTGTTTACGTATTTTTAGAATGATTATGATAAAAAATAAAAATAAAAAAAGTAAATGTTAGAGAATAAAAATTTCTGGTGATAGATTCTGGTGATCGATGATAAAAATTTCTGGTGATGTTATTATTTGAAATGAGGAATATCTGTTAAATTTATTCTTCTTGTTGCATGCAAACAAGCTGTGAATTTTGTACTTTTTAAAGAGAAATATTCCATAATGCAAAAGCTATGTGATATACATGGTACTGAAATTCTAAATTGAAAATAAGGAACATTACCAATTGGACAGAAAAACAGTCAATCATGACTTTGACATGGAAAGAACAAACAAATACCCGAAAATGGTACCCACTGTCTCTAAAGTTAACTCTCTCGCTGAGCAATTTTTTTTATCAAAATAGGTTCAAAAACTGCACATTTTTTTATTACATATTTCAAATCTACATATATTTTTGACTTAAAATAACAAACATTTTTTGCAAAAGTGTTTTTTTTTTTTTTTTTAGCATAGAATTAGATCATTAAAAAAAGTTGTCGGAAAACTGGAACTGAAGAATTATCACATAAAAGCAAAATTTTGAAAATTAATCTTGGTTAAATTATGATTTAGTTTATGGAATATGAAGGTAAAACATATATACTAATGAAAATATGCAAAATACTTACTAAAGAAGGAAATTAGAAATGGAGTTTAGTACAATAAACTTCGAAACAAGGCTCAAGTCCTACCTCGCAATCTTTGCACCTAATTTGCATTTTTTGCGACCACTCTTTTTTAGCAACAAACAGCACACTGTCTATGAGGCTCTTTCTTGATGGGATTAGGGGTTATATTGCTAGAAAAATGTAAAGCAGTTAGTTTCATGGGACTGAGAGTTGAACTACAGACATCTTTCAGCTTTGAAAAGAGCGTTCAAGATGGTGCAAAACATGCTTGTATATTTTGCAGAAATATGGACAACGAATGACGTCTGTTAACCCAGACCTGAATAAACAATTAAACATCATAGAAAAGCTGAAATGAAACCATGAACAGGAAAAGAGAGGATCGGACAGTTAAACAGATGGAAAAAATCATCACAGAATTGTGGGTTGCACAAATTTTGCTACTTCTACATTGTCCGTGGAAATCACGGGATATGCAGTGAGAGGGTTAAATTTTAAGTAATATGAGAAAATCCATCATTGCAGACATCAATTGCAAAGTCCTTAAATACATGCATAGCAACAATAAATAAAATAATAAATCAAAATTTACAACTTAAAAAACTAATAGAAAAGCTGAACTAAAAAACAATGTTCAGTAGCTTTTGCCCAAACATGGAGCTCAATGTAGAAAAATTTGCAGAAACATGTATGAAAGCTATTTAGCAGGAGATAAATGGAAATATACTGTGACCCTAGATGAAATATAAGTTTACCTACATGACTGCAACAATAATCAATTTATTATCGAAAATGAAGAGGGGCAAAAAATGCAAAAAACTGGTTCCGTTAATGCAAAGATTCAGTAATGGGGTTTATGATCGTTTCAGGATTCTCTTACAATAACAAATTAAATGTAAGAGTGGAAAAAAATGTTAAAATCAACTCTTTGTACTATTCAAAAAAAGTTTTATAGCTGGTATTTACATAATAAATTCCATTTCTTTATCTCAGTGACTTTCAAAGAGTGAAACTTCATCAAGACAAAACTACAAGTCATACTTCAAAATGTACCATTGCATTCCCTGACAAAATGAAGACTGATTTAGGTATTGCAAATACACCTTTTCAACATAATCCTGCAAAGTTTGCTGACATTTCACCTACGTGCCTTTGGTCTCCTGATAAGAGCTCTTTCTAAGTGTAAATTCACCATAACTGATAGACTCTGGAAAGCAGTGGAAGAGTAATAGAAATTAATACCCATGGAAATTTTAAGAAAAGTTCTTCTATCCTGGAAATCCCAATGCTGGCTTATAGTTTAGAAGAAAGGCTATTCTATGAACTTTCGTGCCTTTGTTTTCTTGAAAAGAGCTCTTTCTAAGCCCGAATCTACCATGATTGATTGACTCTGCAAAGCAGTGGAAGAATGGAAATTTTATGAAAAACTCTTCTATTATGGAACCTATGATGCAGACTTATTGTCCAAAAGAAAAGATACCAGACTGAACATTTAAAAAAATACTCTTTACATTTTGAACATAAATTAAAAACTCAAACCTGTTATGGAAATCTGTTCTAAATCTCAAAATGTTTTAGAATCAAGAATCCACACTTAATACGCTCCTACACTTAAGATCTTAATAAGCTCCCACACTGAATAACTATGCACTTTGCTTCTACCTCTGTTATGGCTAAGGCATTGCTATGTTGCTTTCTTTCTATCACAACAAAAGCATAAATATTCAGAATAATACCAAAAGTATAAATATATAGAAAAGGGGGCCAAGTTATTTATGGCTGCAAATATCTACTAAAAATTAAAATGAATATTTAATCTACCTTCAGTTGTCAAGTTTGCTGCTCATTATGGATCACCATCTGTGCAATCAATATTTCTACAATACATACACTATCAATTTATTGTCACTATTACATATATATTCAAATTTGGAATTTTAAGGAAAATTCTGACCATCCCGAAATCCAATTTAAATGCGATATGTGAAAACACAACCAAGTTCACAGAAATTCAATATCAGGTTGCATGCAAGTCTATGTGCATCATACACCTCAAAATGTGAAAAAACTTAAAATTTCATAAAGTGAAATTAAAATTTGAATAAAAATTATGATTTCTGATGGAATCTAATGCATGGTTCAAACCATCCTTGGAATTAAAATACAGTCACACACACATGCAATTTAATATATGCCATATTTCTTCATTAGCTGATATGATGACAATATTAACATTTCTGATTTAACTAAAAAGTGAATATACCAAAAGATACTTACCTGTAGGTTGCAAACTGAAACTATCATCATCCATATGTATCAATTTATATTTCCTTAAGCCATTTATTTCCTTAATGCATAAATCTGGAAGAGGAAAACGTTTTGGATAATTTTTAGCAGCAATGGCAGTAAAGTAAATTTATATTACAATATTAATATCAAGTGTTATTAAAAATGATATTGTTTACATTGTAGAGACATTAGGATTTTTTTTGAAATGGGAAAGATGAAAAATAGCAACCGCCTTTGCCGGGAATCAAACCACAGATCCTCTGGAATACCGGCCCAGCGTGCAGAACCACTACATCATGAAGGCACGCTAGGAAGGTGGGAGAAAACTCTTCTTAACATAATTAACAGTAAATGAAAACTACAGTATAAAAGTATAAACCTCAGATATTATATATAAATATGATTACTTACAAACAAAATACAAATATTCTAGGTGATAGACCAAAAAGCTGAAAGTTAAGAGTAAATTAGGAGTTAAGTAAGTTAGGAGTTTTAGCAAACAATTTGTCTGCTAGGATTAGAATAGCTCAATTAAATTCTCCTATTTTTGTTGCAGTTTTCCTCCAGGGTTACTTGGCAGAGTTGCTACATTTTTTTGGCACTGACATCTAGATGTAAAGCATATTTAAAGGAAGATCTCTACATGTAACATGGTCTTGTAGTGCTTTCTAACTATTCTTTAATTTTAATTTGCTTTTACTGATGAGTTTAGCTTTTTTCTGCTCAATTATTGCATTTGAATGCTAAAAAGAAATATTTTACAAAATATGTTCTATTTTCCTTGCTGTACTGGCTGGCAGAGAGTTTAATATCTGTGTTATGCTCAGCAATCCAGTTAATAAATTTCTAGATGTTAAACTGATAAACTGAGTTTTTCTATCTACCTTCATCATGGATGAGGATGGTATACATAACTGGTGTTTCTGTTGTGCTAATGTACCATTCAGCAGTTCTTAAAAAATTCCATAGTGACAGAGTTGGAGTTATGACAAGTTTGCATACAAAATTTTTGAAAATTAAACGATGCACTGGATGATGGAATAGTAGAGGAACGCTTCAGTGAATTTTCTTCTCTTTGGTTTTTAAATAGTAGCAACTTCATTTTTTTCAAATTAACTGCAGACATCTGTCTATTAATTTTATGGATATGGTTTTAAACAAAGTCAGATGGATAACTATCGTTTGTTGAAAACTGTAGGGCGAATTTATATACAATCGATTCCAGTTAATCAGACCACATCAGGAAACGATCGTTTTGGTCCCAATAACCGGCTGTTCCGATTACATGAACATGTCCTATGTTGTAAGACGTGACGTGCTATATGTAGCAAACAGTAAATGTACATGTAAATCATGTACTAACATGTAATTATTAACTTTATGGTGCGGTACACATGTATGGCGAACATACATGTACAAACAAGAAATACAGTCGAACTTTTTTTCATTGAGAAAATTAATTTAGAAACAAATTCTAAGAAACAATCTCCATGATACTCAACATACGAAGCACAATTAAAAACAATTTCTTACCAAGTTCCAGTCAACAGTTGAAGAACTTAATCCAATGTGATCTGACTTATCACACCGTCAGATCACGGATCACTAATGACAGATTGCATGTGAACGAAATAGCCACAAACATCCAATGCAGCAATGAGACTGCCTTAATTTCCCTCCTGCATGAAATACCAAAGCAAAGTTTCAATACGTTTCCTCACATCCTGTGTTGTTGCTTTCTTGAAATTTATGTCGTGTCTAGATTTCCATCGAGACAACCAACCATTCGTAGCTTTAAAGTCATCATGGCCCAGCTTTTTAGTGAGTTCTTCTGCTTTGCATTTTAACATTGGAGCGCTTACTCACACAGCTCGTCCAGTAACAATGGCAAACCATTCATTAAGGGCCTCATTGACGTCTGGATCCTTGCCTTCACAATTCCGTTTTTTGGAAGTTCCTCCAAGTCCTTCACATTTTGCCCATTCTTCTTGCAGCTCATTCTCTTGTTTTATCAAGCGTGAAATTGTAGTCTTTGCGAATCCGGTAATTTCCACCAACCCACACTAACTAGTGTTTCGTGGTTGTTGCTTGATCTTATCTAGCAAACCAATTTTTTCAGTTAACGTCAACGGCATTTTGGCAGGGGAGAAAAGACACGCATGCAGTTCACAGACTAAAGTGGTCTGAAGAAATCCTTGGTGTTTCGGGGTCAAGATGTTCAGGTCAAAAGGGAGATAAAATGCTCGCCATTCAAAGCTTTGGCACTAAAATCATCCCGAAAAGGTGCTGAAATGATAGCTTTCTCGTGTAATCTTTAATCATGATTGACATGCGAGAAATCCTTTCAGGTGGAGCCGGACACTCTATTGTTCATTTCCTCGAAACTTGGAGGTGCAGATCAAGAAAATGGTGCATGTTCACCTCCCTCCGGTTTTGCTTTTGTCATGCACTTTAAGGAATTCCTGACCTTTGATAAAGCATTTTCCTGGGAAGCCACAACTACAGATCCTCCCATATGTCGCAGACCACCTGTACATCCCCTGTATGCGGCCGACTTGTGGCTTCTGTTTCTTATTCGCTCTCACGTTTTTTTGCCCAAATAAGCGAATAATATTACGCTTATGTACATAGGATTTGTTTCGGTTCTTCCAGATTTGGTCCGAAAAAGCGGCTGGTCCGATTATCCAGTGGTCCAATTAATTGGATTCGACTGTATATATTTTCGAAAGTTTGGATGAGAACAAAATTTTTTAGCTTGTTTTCAGAAAAAAATAAAAAGAAGCTGCTTTAAGAGGATGAAATGAAAGAATCATACAGAATGATTTATGGACTACAGGTTAGTTTTAGTAGATCATTGTCTGAAGAGTATTGTACTTTTGCACACTATTTGAATATTAAACTTTTTACAATATGTGGGAGTTCACTGTAGGGCAAAATGTTTCATGACTTTACAACAAATAAAATTTTCCCAATTGATAAGAGAAAAATAACATGGCTTTAATAACATAGTCTTAATAAATCATAATTATGGTAATAAGATATTTATTACTATGTTCTTAAAAAGTACAGCTCACCACTGGCCAAGCAGTAAAATCACTAAATATAGGTAGTTTGACACAATACACCATTTGGAAAATACCGGTTTGTAAACTGTTTATTTATTTATTTATATTTAAACAATATAAGACAAACTGGTTTAGATGTAACAAGTAAGTATAGTCTTTTTAACTAGAAAGAGAGGAGAAATACTTACTTAATATTTACTTAAAACGATTTACCTGTTGATTTCTATTTTAGCAAAGTTCACACATTTGTAGAATTCAGAATTGATAAATAAACAAAAAAATGCTCGAAATATGGATCTGTGTAAGAATGATTTTTAAACATGCAACAGAGCTCTTACATATGTTTACTTTTTTACTGTCTGAAAAGAAATGATATTAAAGATGACATAAATTGGCAGGTATTTTCTGAAATGAGTAAGTGTGTATACTGCTAACCTTTTTTTTTTTTTTTTTTTCTATCAGGATTAGATTGCAAATCTATATATATGCTTATGATTTCAAACAGAGTGAATATCTATACATATTGTGTAATTTCATTTGATCATGAACTTTTGAAAGAACACGTCATCCATTTGTATTTTACAAAAAATGATCCTCAGTTTTAAACAGAGTCAATATTGATTATTGCAACAGAATGAACATAAAGACAATTATTGGAGAGAAAAGCTAGAAAGAATAATATTGACTACAGATTATCAAATCAATTAGAACTAGGATTCAAGGTTTAAAGGTTAAAATTTAAACAGAAACCAAATTATTTAATATGCTTGATATATTTAAGTTAATATGATAGTTCTCTGAAATCACATTTAATACATATTATAACCGAGGAGCAGGAAATGTTTCTGATTAACCATATAATAGTTGCAGTGGAATCACAGACATCGCTAATGACAAGAAATTAATTATGTAAATTGTTACAGCCTGAAGTTGACTCTACACTTGGTATTTCGAATATGGATCAACTCACATTTGTTTTAAATATGTATTTTAAATGGTAACATAAAAATTCCTAGGCTTCATACTGATAAAAAATCATACAGCATCACATTTGGAACAGCAAGTGCAGTCTATTATTACATTCTTTGGGTACTCACTCTTTAAATATAGTTAGTTTACCTGTAGAAGTACGTTGCTCTTTTTTCCACCAGCACCTCCTAACATAGGAAAGTTTACAAGGATACTATAAAAAAGCCCTAACAGTATAAAAAAGGGATCTTTTCAGGTTTGGAAGGAATAAAATTATAGTGGAAAAGACATCATTTGACTTTTTCACTATAGCTTTATTACGAAAGATGACTTCCCATCTTTGTTTAATATAATAAGCAAATATGAAACAACATTTATGACAGTAATTTGGAAATTTTATAGAAAATAAATACTACCAGAAAATCCCTCAATCAATCCATATTTAATGTATGTACACTGCACACAATAAAAAGGGGGACAGTTCTATCTCCCGTTCTACTAGACTGATTGACAAAATTCAACTTGCATTTTTCATGTCTTGAAAGCACGACTTAGGATATGTATTAGATTTATATACAGCATTATTCTAATATAGGTGTTTTAACACAAAATTAGACTTTTTCTGAAATGGAATGCCAATTTTTTCCCCCATATTTCGATTCTATGATTCAACTTATGCCAAACTGCCAAGTTTTGTAAAAATCGCACGAGTACTTTTTAAAAAATTAGCTCACAAATAGCTTTAAAAAATTAGCTAAAGTTTTTTAGCTCCTCAATTTAATTGAATTTGATATATATTTATTAATATCTTTTTTTTTATTAAACTTACTTGATTCCCTTCTTCCAGAATTTGAAATTTAGGCTTAATCCAAATATAATTCGGAAATTTTTTATTATTTATTTTTTAAATTTGTATTTTAAAATAATTTTTATAATTTTTCTAAGAAATTTTGAATTATAAAACTATAAAATGTTTACCATCATCTTAAAATATATGCATTTCTAAGCATACCTGCAAAAAATTAAGAGTTTTTTATTTAAAATTTCCTATGATATATGAGAATTTACATATTGGCGCATTTTGAAAATTGGCATATTTGCTATAAGTGGTAATAGTACCAAATGCGGTTTATGCACTTTGTTAAAATCAACGGTGAGCTTTTTTCCGCTCATGTACAATGTAAAAAAGAAAAGGGAAATAAGTTGCTATAAAATAAGAAATTCACGAAGAGAACTATTTTTAGGAAAACTGAAAAAATGCACCAAGATAAATTTTTTAATTTCTCACCAAAAATTACAAAATTTAATATCTAAGCATAATTTGAGTAGTAAAATCGAAATATGTAAAAAAATTATATATCAGAAAAAGTCCGATTTTGTGTCAAAATACCTATGTTTGAACAATGCTACATATAAATATAATGTATATCTTAAGTCACGCTTTCGAGTTATGAAAAACACAATTTGAATTTCGTCAACCAGCCCAGTAGAATGGGAGACATAGAACTGTCCCATTTTTTTTTTCATCTTTTTTGCACAGTGTACATGGAAGTTACATCTTTGTTTAAGATAATATGCAAGTATTAAAAATATTTATGACAGTAATTTGGAAAGTATTTTACGGAGCATAAATACTATCAGGAAATCACTTAAGCAATCCATATTTAAAGGATATACTCTAAAAAGTCATCAGAAAATTTTCATAAGTTTTTCAGTCTGGAAGTAAATTCCATAATATATAATATCTTTAATATTTGATAAGCAGAAACAAGTTTTGCTAGACACACCACACACACACACACACACACACACACACACACACCACAAAAAAAAAAAAAAAAAAAAAGTTTCCTAAAATAAATATACTAATGAAAGCAAATAATTTTCACAAATATTTTGTGAAATTTTAAACTTTATCAAGCTATTTGTGACAATATAACTAGACTTGCTGATGTAAATAATTATATAAAAGTAATATAAAAAAATTATTAATTTCTTAGATTCAAATTTGATCTTATCTAGAGAATGAATCTGACAAAGCAACAGATATACACATTTGACAATATAGATATTACATATTTTAATGATGAATTGAATGTTTTTATATTTTAAAAATAACAAGAATGTAAGTTCATTTTCACCATATAAGTATATCAAGCTCCCAGAGAAATATTGTCAACTTTCATAAACGCAAACATTATTTTACCAGTTTTAGTTTAACAAGAGAAAAATCTTTACTTTTAAAATGTTAAAAAAATAAGTGCGATGTGAGAATGGTAAACAGTATGGCATTATTATATCTACAAGAAGAAGTGCTAAATAACATTGATATTTCCAAACAAATTGGCAAATTTTCTCGAGCGAGGTTGAAGGAAAAAATATATTCTACTCTATTTAGTTTTCACTTAATTAATACACATTTAATTTAATTCATGGTTTCAACTTCAAAATGTTTCAATATTTTAATGATTTTACTTTTCTTTTCCATAAAATATTACTTTTTTTAAATATGATATCCATTTTTATACATTTTATGCTTGATGGTGAAAATAATTTAAAAAAAAATAGTGTAACAAAATATTTCAACATTTTTTCATTAAAATATTAATAATATTAAGTAATTTTGTGTACTCTTTTAACTATTTGTGCCTTAGTTCCTCTTCTAGGGTACAGATATGTAAAGAGGAGCCTAACATCATCCCTGAATCATTACCAAACATCTCAAATATTTAAATTTACATATGAGATGCATCCAGAATGTAAGTTTCCCTATGGTCAATAAATAAGGCAGAAAACACGTGAGACACTTGTCATATTGTAGGATCAACTTTTGTATTCCACTGTCATACAATTCATCCACCTGAGATCAAAACCAGTGTGTTACAGGTGTCTTCATCTCTTTATCACTTTGCAGATGCTGACTGGATGAGAATTTCTTGCAAGAAAAGATAGAAACTGCTAAAAGTTAAATCAGAACTATAGGATGGATAATCAGACACCTCCCACTGAAAGTCTTGCAGATGTTTTGTGGACAGAACAGTGTGTTAAGATGTCTGCATCACTTTATAACTTCGGAAATACTGATCACATAGGAATTTCTGGCAAGAAAAAGTGGAAACTGCTGAAAGTTAAATCAAGGCTATTAGAAGGTTAATCTAATACCATCCAGTGGAACTCTTTCAGATGTGTTGTACATTGAGTCCTCTGTGAGCGAACACTATCATGAATATACACACAACTTCGGCAATGAGCATTCCACACTTCTTGGTCTGGATGGCAAACCATAATTTCTACAGTGATTGATAGTAACAGTCAGCATTTACCATTTCACTTCTGGTAAGGTAGGCAGTCAGCAGAATACTCTTTCTGCACCAGAATATCATGCACATCAACATTTGTGCAGACAGAATATGCTTGAATTTTGTTCTGAATGGAGATTTACTGTGTGCATTAATTTCTGTTTGGTTACTGGAACAAAGCGAGCAACCCATGTTTCACTGTCAGTAATGATTCTGTCAAGGAATTTGTCTTCATTATCATCATATAACTGAAGAAAAGTCAATTCTCATTCCAAGAGTTTTTGTATTCGGGTTTTGATTGTTTCACACCCACTTGGAACACTTCTTTCGGAACAAGAAGTGTTTTGTGACAATTTCATGCAACAAAGAATGGGATACATGTGGAAAATGACTGTTGAGCTCCATAAATGTGAAGTAATTGTTTTCCGAAATGGGCTGCCACATCTTCTGCTAGTTCATCACTGATGATGGATGACCATATAATGCATTCCTGTACATAGATGTCTTGATGACCTTTGTAAAATTGCTTGTACCATATCTTTCAGTGCTTAGCTTTTCACATGTATTTTACTATAGATCCGATAACTTCATTGAAGTACAGGTAATTAAAACCATTTTTTACCATAAAATAATAGCTGATTCAGAATGCATGCAGCTAATTTCTTGCAATTCAGAATCAGAATCTAACATGTCTGTAAATGAATTTGGAAGAAGTGAAAATGCTCTAGATGCCGTCAACACTAGTATAGAAAACATGGTGGTAGAGATACAAATTTACTCTTTTCATTGGATATTTTGATTTGACTGACTGAAAGGCATGCAACAGTAGAAGGTAAAGGAAAGGTCTCTCTCTGAATATTTACTAGCTCTATTAAGACTAGTCGAAAAGCATTTGTAAAAGAGACTTTCACAGCAGAGGTTTAAAAAAAAAAAAAAAAAAACTGTAGGACTATGTGTGCTTACTGAAGGAAAACGACAACAGCAGAATTAGAAAATAAGTCCAGATAAAAATTGTATTTTTATCTAGACTGTGACTCTTGCCTTGTTTTAAGAGATTTTAAGATAAATTAGGTTTAAAAAAAATGCAAAGTAAATTTAATTGCAGTAATTTTAATTGAGCATAACTGTAAAGTAATTGTATTTTTCAGTGCAAATGTAATTTCCCTATTAGGTGCTTATGTAGCAAGAAAATTTCCAAGAGAAACATTATTTTATTTGCAATAAAAAAGTTGTTCTAAATGTTTAAAAATATTATGTTAATTATTATAACATTTTATCATTTACATTAGGGGGGAATGAAACAGTTAAGCGGTTAAATTATATGCACCATAAAAGTAAGAAAGAATTACTTTTGTACAATAAAATATACAATATTTTATTTTGTAGGGGGCTAAATCAACAAAAAACATGTATTCAATTATCAAATTATTTAAAGATGCATATAAAATCTGCATTCAAAATTTAGGATAATTATATGTTAAATTGATTAAAATGTGTTCACATGCTTAATATTATTAATATTTTTTATGAAGTGCATACAGGGACTGCAGATATGATTTATTTCATAATAATTTTACAAATGTGAAATAATTATTTATTCTAAATTTTCAAGAGTTTATAGTATTTCAATTTTTCAATAAAAATAAATTGTTTATTTTACCTTGCAGTTTTCTTTCAATCTTTTCTTTTGGTAACTTCATGTTTATTCCTGAAATTTTCATAAAAAAGTTTTTTCTTAAAACTAATTATATCAAACACAACAGGAAATATTGCTACATGTTTAAAAGAATTGCATCAGGCTAAATTTACATAAATACAAAAAATATATCCCTAAGTTAAAAGAGAACAGACATTAAAAATAAAATTCTTGGCAAAATTATGCATTCATTATGGCAGCATTTCTATACAATTAATGGTTATCATTACACATTACATAATTTACAGATTCAAAAATTTTCTAATTGCATATGAAATATATTTCAAATATATATTTTTATTTTAACTTCACATTATATAACTTGTGATACTTATATAATTTGTAATATTATAGGATATCATTTCCATTTTATTTCTATGCAGTTATGGTTTGGCTAAAAGTTGTTTAATTTTTCAACACATTTTTGTTTAGGGTAAAACTATTACTTTAGAATAGGCATTTCAATGTCATTTTCTCTTGCTTGGCTTGCATTCATAGTATCTACAGCAGCAGATGATGGTTGTTTGTTTGTCCATAATTGTTTTCCCAGCTCCATTTGCATTAAGCGTGTTAAGCTTCTTGAACAGTGCATAAATGAAAATTGATCTGAACTACAGTTTCAAACCAAATGGCAAAAATGAGTACTGTGTGGTGATAGTTTTGTGTGTTTCCATCACAAACGGAGAACAGTCAAAAAGGTCTCTAAGTGCCTATTTTAAAGTAAAAGACTGTGATTAAAGTATAACACTATAGTTAACACTGTGATTAAAGTATAACACTATAACTGAAAGATTTTAAAGTATAACACTGTTATACTGTGAGTTATTGAGTTTTTGTACTTTCCTGTATTTTCAGTTGCATGAAAGGGAATAATAAGTTCGGCCGTTTTGAGCAGTTGTGGTCCTTTGGGTGGAATGCAAGAAGTATCACCCTCACCAGCATCATTTGCAAGGCGATGGAATAAATTATCCACTCCAGAATCCACTTTTTGGCACCATTTCTTTATTTTAGGTTCAACTAATGGCAAATGTCTGATTCTGCATTTAAGTGGCTTATGTACATTGTACCTAATTTCCTGTTGGAAGCCATGAAGGGGAATGAGCTTATGGATCTGATTCAGATCAGAGGGATTAGTAAGAAAATGTATTTTGTTTCAGTATTTGTGTAGGTGAAGAATCCTGCCTCACTGAGACATCTTGACTGAGGAGATGATGAAAATATTGATTTTGCTTTCTTAGATAAGATTTTGAATTTATCTTGTAAATTCAGCCAAAACTTTAGTAAACTTTGTGTTTTGAATCTTATTTTTTGGTGTGATATGTCAAATCTGAAATACCTTGTATACTGCTGCTTTCAAGCTTTTATGCTGAACACATTCAGATCCCATTTAAAGTCATTAAGCATCTTTTTGAACTGTAGGACAATAATATTCAAATAAATCTTTCAAAGCTTTTTGATGCATTAGAATAATATTCTCTTTTTCTTGAATCCTTATGTTATTTTCATTCAAGAAGCTTTCCGTAACAGGGAAGTAATCGATACATTCCATTTCGACGCACTTTAACTAGGAGGCGTATTCGGAAACTAAGTACCGTTTTGAAAAAAAAAAGTAAAAAAAAAATTTTTAATCCAATTTTATTTTTACATGAAAATACATGTCTTAAACTATTTTTCAACATAGTTTCCGCCAATGATCAAACACTTGTCATAGCGGTTGACCAGTTTTTGTATACCATCGTCAAAGAAACTTCCCGCCAGTTTCGATAACCACGACTCCACAGCATTTTTCGTGTCATCATCAGATCCAAAGCGCTTGCCACCAAGCTCGCGCTTCATGTGCAGGAACAAGTGATAGTCAAATGGTGCCAAGTCCAGGCTGTATGGCGGGTGATCGGACTGCTCCCAATAAAACTGTCGAATTAACGATTGATTGACACCAGCAGTATGGGGCCGAGCATTGTCATGGAACAACACAAATTCCTTTACTGAGCATTCCTCTTCGTTTGTTTTGAATGGCCTTAGTTTTGTTAAAGTCTCAAAATATCGTGCCGCATTAATGGTTTCACCTCTGAGAAGAAATTCAGTAAGAAAAACACCTTTCCTATCCCAGAAGACAGTGCACATGATTTTTTGTGATGACATTGTTACTTTGAACTTTTGTTTTTTCGGAGAATGAGTGTGTCTCCACTCCATCGATTGTTGTTTCGATTCTGGTGTGAAATGATACACCCAAGTTTCATCACCTGTCACAATTTGGTTTAAAAAGTTTTCTTCCTCATCACTGTACCGCGTGAGAAATGTCAGGGCACTACGAAGTCGCTTTGTTTTGTGAACATCAGTGAGCATTTTTGGAACCCATTGGGAACACAGTTTGCGATAATTCAAGCGGTCAGACACAATTTCGAACAAAACAGTACGTGAAATTTGTGGAAATGCCTCTGAAAAAGTTGTCATTGTGAAGCGTCTGTTCTCATGAATTGCTTCATCAACTTTCCTTATCAAATCATCGGTGACAACAGAAGGCTGACCACTCCGAGCCTCGGCGTGGACATTTGTTTGACCTGCATTAAACATACTTAGGCACTTTCTCACCATTCCACCACTTATCGCGTATTCACCGTAAACTTCTGTCACTTGATGATAAATTTCGGCCGGTTTAACATTCCTCGCGTTCAAAAATTTAATCACGGCACGAATCTCACAGTCAGCGGGAGAACTAATTGTCTTAAATATTTTGAATGTGCACAGCAAACTGAAAACACAACATAGAGCAACCAAAATGGCAACAATTGAAAGTCAGTGAACAAGAAAGACCAGTGCACATGCACGGGACACCTACCACAGCGCTGCAACGGCGCTAGAATGAAACGGTACTTAGTTTCCGAATATGCTACGTAATATTCAAGTTTCCCTTATAAGAAGATTCTTTGATATTTGCATCAAAAACTGTTGCATTCTTTCTTTACGATGATATGATTTATTTCAGCCATTTTTCTAAATATGCCAATTTTCAAATCCGGATTTCATCATTTAAAATCACTGCCCGTAGAGAGTTACAGTCAATTGAAAATGCTGCTACCTCTGCATGAACTTCTATCAAATGTGTCAATACTTTTCCTTGAGATAACCACCTTACTTCAATATACAAGAGGAGAGACTCATTGTGGCATCCCAGATCTTCACATATTAGTTTGAAGAGTCCACTTATAAGCAGCACGGTTTTAATAGTTTATTATTCTTCTAGTCATTCAACACTATCATAACTTCAGAAGGTATTTTTTTTTTTTTACGATAGTGTGCCTCAGTGAAGAATGCAGCCGATTGCTACTACATTTTTTTTGCCTTATCTTTAATTTTAGCAATAGCTTCAGTAGTGTAAACCATCATTTCATTACCTTCCCATGATCAGGGCATATATCTGCAGAGTTTTCCTATGGTATTTTATTTGATGAGAAGAATTCATCCAAAAAACTAAATATTTCGCCTCCTAATATGATGGTTAGTAATAGCCTTCAAAGAAGAAGCTACTTTTGATAGCTTTGCAAGTAGTCATTAAGTAACAAAAGCAATTAAAACAACTAAATCAGTGACATAAGTTGTTTTATCTATATGCAACATGAATATAGTACACACGGTAAGCCTGATAAGTGTCTCTTTCACATCAACAGCTATATTGCAGATTCATCGAGCAAGAGAGATATTTGATAAACGTGAATACTATGAATGGAATATTATACTATAAGGTAGATACAAGAACAATCGTAAGTGAAGTAAATAGTCACTGTTTAGGACAGGGATGGCGAACCTTTTTTAGTATTGTGCCAGTTAAATTACAATTTACTATTTTCAGGTGTCCAAGGTGCCACTTGTTATATTTCTTTTTAAATAACCTCTTTAAACCTCTGCTTTGATTTCAAACAATGAAAATATATTTTGTAACTATATTTGCTCTCCAGTTATTGCATCAAATGTAAATTGAATAAATTTAAAAAATATTTCAGTTTAATATTAAGATAATGTACAGTGCCCTAAAGTGTATGTGAAAAAATAAAGGCAATTAATGTTAGATGTTTTTAATTTTTTATACTAGAAAAAATTAGATGTATCAATACAATTCAAAATATGTTATTAATTGCCTTTAATTTTTCACTTAAAAAAATAGTGTGCTTTTAAGACGTTTCACTTAGTATACCTTTTATTTTTCAAAATACATTCATTTCATATTATAAATAAATGCTACATTATTACATTAAAAAACTACTTGCATTTAATCCCATTTAATCCCCTGCTGCTGAATCTTATTAAACATGTAATTTATATTTGGGTCATAACTTGTTGTCTCAGCACATACAATCTACTTAAATCTGAACGAAACTGGTTTCTTACAGTCAGTTTTATAGACTTCATTGATGAAAATACTAACTCACAAGCGAATGAGGATCCAAACATTGTAAGCTGTGATATCACATATTTTTTCATGGCCATAAAGTTTTGAAGGAGATCATTCCATTGTTCAAGGATTAAGTTTTCTGACTTTTGGGTGCAACATTTGTAATCGGCACTCTCCACTTCTTTTAATGATTCACCAAGTTTGACAAATTTGTTTACCCATGGAGAATTTTTCTAAAATTCTATCAATTCCATTTCCAAATTGTCGATATCTAACCACTCAAAAAATGTTACATTAACTTCATCCATTTTAGCAAAGTGAGGTTTTGAAATAAACAGCAGTGTCTTCCCTGAATTCCGAAATTGAGAAAATCATGCCAATGCTATTTCCTTTGATTTTTCTAAAATACCCAAATAGATCTTAAATATATTTTCTCAGTCAAGACGCAAAAGAAATGCGCCGACGTGGAAAATAAAACAGGCAAATCGACAACATTCATGAAATCTACACCGAATACAAGGTTGTCGATTTGCCTGTTTTTATAATTTCTCGGTCTTCATAAGATAATTTATCAGCAAAACTTGATGCCATTTATGTGTCTTTTAAGCAAAGGGAAATATAT